AAAATTGAACTCTGTTCTTCATCCAGTCTAGTTGGCCAGACCAAACAAGGCAAAGACATTTTCTTTTCCCTTCAGTGCATCCAACTTTAAAAAAAAATTAAAACAATTTAAAATTCATGTCTGAAGGGATCAAAGATACTTAACAGTTGCAATAGTTATCTCGAGAACAAAGACTTAGACACACACACACACACACACACACACACACACACACACACACAAACAAGGACAAATAGAGGAAAATAAAACTCTTAAGGTTTACACACACACACTGATCATTCCCACTATAAATTTCAGTTAAATTAGGGAAAGCACAAATTTTAAGGAACAAGCCACATGGTTACATAGGAGACAAAGAAAGAGACACAGAAATAAATTTTTAAAAATCCCATTTGAGCCTGTTTATACAGTATATTGCCTTTTTAAATACCTTTATTTATCCAAATTGGTCTTCCTCTACCCCCCAGCAAAGCCCATTCTCTACATACATTTTCCTTTTCTTGCTTTTTCATCCCAGCTAGGGTCAGCATCTGCCACTCATCCCAAGCCTCCAATAACTCTCCCAGGGGGGTTCCATTCAGGACCCTCGAACTACCACTTCCCATGTTTCCCCTTCCAATGTGGGATTTCACACTTTGGCTTAGTCAGGTCAGTCAATTATCAGTTTGCAGACAAAAAGGTGTCTGGGGAGACTTTGGATTCCCTTTACAAAGTATGTGCACTCCCCTCCAAGGGAATTCTCCAGCCACGGTTTTCGGACTAGGGGGAAACAGTCTGTGATGACTTCCTAACTCCCCAAAAGACAGTCTAGAAGAAATTTCTGCCCCCTGCAGACAAGTACTGGCACTCCTTCCTCAGACCTAGGTTTTTGGATTCGGAAGAGCTCAAATCTGGGAGGACTTGCTGCTTTTCTGCCCGCAAGTACTGGCGCTCCTATTACTTCACAGCTTCTTAATTACTAAGTTCACAATTACCTAAAATCCTGTGGTTTGCTTTTTGGATGCACTGGACAAAAAAACAACAAAAGTTTTCTTCCCTCTCTTCAATCATAACCCGCTTGGCTTTTCCCTCTTATATACAGAAGGTCCCACACTCTGATGGGCCCCATTTGCTTTTCCTGTCCTGATGGTCATGGCTCTGTAGAGATAGCAACAGGCAAGAGGGCCGCTAGAGGCCAAACAAAGAAATGAGATCCAGCTCATTTCAAGGGTGAAGCCACTCACACATACACTCTTCCTCCTTCCCTAACAAAAGATCCTGTGCTCTGGCAAAAGATCCTGTGCTCTCCCATGCTCTCCAGACTCTTGGTCTTTCTGCAGCTAGGAAATGCACAGAAGAAACAAGATCCAGTTGTGTTTGGGGGAAGAGCCCTCTCACACACATGTAAGCATAGACATATTTCCCATGCTTTTAATTTAGAATGTAGAGGTACTCACCTTCCTTCCAAGCAGCCTTTGAGCTCAACACCCCAAATCCCTTTAAAACCATTTTCTTCAAATGGCCAATGTTGTGTCCCTGACAGTTTCCGTTATGTCTTTTGAACTGGTTGGGGTTTCCCAACCAGGTCCGCTGTTTGAGCGGGAACTCCAGCCGTTCCCATTGGCTGGCTCCGTTTGACAGTCGGCTATAAAAGCCGGCTGTCGGGCAGAGCCAGCCAAGCGGAGCGAAGCGGGCGGAGCGCGGACCAACGGGGCAGCGCTCGCAAGAGCTCTGGCCCCCCCCCGGGCTGCCCGCCCGGCCGGGCAGTTCTCACCATCTGGGCTGTCCGCCCAGCCAAGGCAGCTATCGCCCTCTGGACCGCCCGCCCAGCCGGGGCGGCTACAGATCTCCCGGACTGCCTGCCGAGCCGAGGCAGCTAACGCCTCCCGGACTGCCTGCCGAGCCGAGGCAGCTAACGTCACCCGGACTGCCTGCCCAGCCGAGGCAGCCATCGCCTCCCGGACTGTCTGCCGAGCCGAGGCAGCTAACGCCTCCCGGACCGCCTGCCGAGCCGAGGCAGCTATCGCTGCCGGACTGCCTGCCCAGCCAGGGCAGCTCTCGGCTGCCTGCCCAGCCAGGGCAGCCTCGTCAACCTGCTATGTTTAAATAAATTGTGTTAGCTTTCAGCTCCGTGTCTGCCTCGTGTGTCATCCCAACGACTACACAACAGCCAAGGTCCAAGAAAACTCACTCACAGGTTCAATGGGTCTGCTTGCCAGTAAGGGAATCTTACCTGGGCCTGGTCCATTGGTTAGATTAGTTTGGAGTCCCATCTGGGGTGCCAAATTGTTGAAAGAAATATCCTTTTGGGTTCAGTTCCCAGTGCGGAAAAAGACACTGGAAACATGAAGGCTGTTTGGAAAGATGGTTTAATGGTGCACAGGACCACATGGCTTGGAGCTTCAAAGTGAAAAGGAGGATCACATGCTTCAAGATGTTGGGTGAAGGAAAAGAAGGGAGGGCTGAGATGCTGAGAGTCCCTTATATACCCCCTGTTGGCATTTGAATTTGAGCTTGTATTCTGATTGGTTATCAGATTCCCATGCAGGGGCAACTCTTAGGCTGTCCCGAGTGCCAGGTTTGGTTAAACCTTGCTGGATGATGATGTAATGAAAGGGCTTTGGGCAATTCCTATTATAGCTCTACCTGGAGATCTTTGTTATATAAAATATTCTGGCCCAGGCCTTAATGGCACACCCCATTAACAAAGGTGGGGTGAGCTTCTGCTTCTGCTTCTGAGTTTCTGCTTCTGAGTTTCTACTCTTTTTAGGGGAAATATTTTGCCTTTTTAATATTTCCTAGGATATTTCATTTTTCTAGGAGAGGTATGGGTGATAACTTCCTACACATCCAAAATCCAATCTTGTGTGTGTGTGTGTGTCCATTGTAACTCCAAAATTGTGTGTGTGCCATTCTAACTCCAACCTTTTTTTGGGGGGGGGTCTATTGTAATTTTGAACAATCATTAAGCTACTGGTCATATTTCAAGGACAACCTCCAGTTCAAATAAAACATTTTAGGAATTGCTGAATCCACTATAGGAAGAAAGTGTAAGAGGGAGTTAATGCTCCTTGACCAACCAATCAGAAGAAAGCTTGGGTTAGATCTGAGATTAGATAAAGGCCCTAGGTTTCTGTATCTTTTATTAATTTTTATTATTCATCTGTTTAGATTTACCTTCACTCCATCTTGACTACTTGATATATTAGCCCTGTTGTCCATTTGTGGAACTGGAGTGGAAAAATCATTAACTACCCTTAAATTGACCTCTCAAGCAGGTTCTAAACCATTTGATTATATTGCCCCTGGTTAGATTTGAATACTGTTTTTTAAATTCCTTTTCACAGAATGTCAGGTTGTTTTGAACCTTACAAAAGGTTTAAAAGAGTTTAAGAATAGAAAAAAACAGATACCAGTACTTAGTTTTGCAATTCCAGGAACACCAAACCTGTTTTCCAGCCAGAGGGATTTAAAAGACAGGTGAGACTCTCTCACAGTTTGAGTATTTGTATTTGAATGTTGCCTAAGTCCTTTCTAAAGCAAATGGAAAGCTTCCAAACAAGATTTGCCCTCCAGAGTCAACTCTGGATCAAGTACAGAATTTTTACAGGGATTCCAGAAATTATTACCTTTCCTTGTATCTTCCCTGTATTTTCTCTCAACTTTTTTCCCTATAAAAATATGCAAGATTTACTAGAAACCCATTAATAATTATAGCCCCAGAAACTTTTATTTTGGAAACAATCTGGGATTATATGATGTTTGTCAGGGTTCCTTACTAGATAAGATGCGTTGGAAAAACTTACTTTCTGGTAAGAACATTTGAAATCTGGTGGATTAGATTACTAAAAGATAGAAAGTGGGAAACCGGATTGGTGAAGCTTGTTTTGGGACAGCAAGCATTATAGGAGTCTGGAAAGATTTCCTAACTGCTTAACGTGAAAAATGACATCTATATGCTACTAAAACCTTTGTTCCTATAATCTTTAACTAGATGAAACAGTGCATCATAGAGCAACGTTTGAACCGAATATCTCAAATGGACTAATTTACAGAATACATTCAAAATCTGAGATCCATGATTCACATGGAAATTTGGAAAATTTTATAAAATATTTATTACACTGGCCTGATTTCCTAGGATTTTGCCTGTGAGGACAAAGTGTTCGTTTAAACTAGTGTTGTGGTTCAAAAGACCAAGGCTACAATTTCTCAGCCCAATTTATAGAATTTATACCAGTTCTCTAATATAGTTCTTATCTCACCTCCCAATCAAAACCTTATACTGTATAATTCCACCATATCTAGAAGGCAAAGAGTCAAAGTCAAGTCAAAGGTTGTTTTCTAGAGAAACAGGTTGTCGTTTTTTTGGTTCCCTTCGAATCACCGTTAGCTCCTGACTGCTTGGACTAATCTTTGCAGTTTCTTGACAAGATTTTGCCTTCATCCTAGAGAGAATAACTGGCCCATGATCACCCAGCTGGCTTTGTGTCTAAGGCAGGACTAGAACTCCCAGTCTCCCGATTTTTGTCTGATGCCTTAACCACACCAACCTGGCTCTCTTTAGAGAGCCCTTTAGATAAAATATGAAAACAGCAACTGTTTGCACTACAAAAAATAATATTCGGGCAATCGCAACTACCTTCATTAAAACGATTCATATGACTTCTAAAGACAAAGAAAAAAAAAACAGGAAGAATAAGAGGGCCAGGACCAATTTAAATGCAGTGTCCCAAACGACTTTATGTTTGCACATTTGCATCCTTTATTCGCACTAAGCGTCCCCGAATAAGCGCAGTAGGGTGGGGAACCGTAAATTTCTGCAGAGACCATTACCACATAATCAATCCCCTTAGGTCCAGACTGCAAGGCTAAAATCGCGTTCAGTGGCTACGAGACTTCATGGGAATTGTAGTTCTGTGAGGTAGTACCGCGAGACGTCGATCGAAAAGTACGTTTATGCGCCCGCGCCCCGCCTGTCCTCCCGTGAAATGCCTTTCGGGAGTTGTAGTTCTTTCCCTCCCTCTTCCCAGTCGCCTTTGCTGCTTCCGTTGCCGGTTTCGCCGCCAAAAACTATGCCAGGGAGCCGGGGTGGGAAGCCTCGGAAAGCCGCCAACCCCATCGCAGGGGTTGGGACGGAATCGGTGACAGAACGAGTCCTCTGCGAGGCCCACTCGCTTTATGTGCATCCGAAGAATGGTGAGAGTTGAGGAGATAGGTTGGGGGGGCGGGGAGGGAGGGCCCGGATCTTTCTTTTTGGGGAGGTGAAATAACACGCCAAGTGTCAGCCATAACTTTCCCCCTCTGCTTCCAGGTTTGGTGTACATAGGAGAGCGTCTGGGCCTGACCCTGCTTCCCCCTCGCCGTAGAGTGACTGTCATGGTGATGGGCAACCACAGTGCTGGGAAGAGCAGTTTTATCAACTGGTGAGCTGAAGGGGAATGCCAGAAAATGAATCAAGGGAAGTCAAAACTGGGAATGGCATCATTAGGACATGGAACCAATGGGTGTTGATATAGGTGCAGGGCATTATGGGCAAGTCCAAATGGAGAGGGTGATACGGCACGTGGCATTCTGGGAAAATTCTAGAAAATTATCTTTAGTACAGGTAATACTTGACTTATGACCACAGTTAAGTCCAAAAGTTATGCTGTTAAGTGAGACATTACTTAAATTAATTTTGCCCCACTTTACAACTTTTTGTGCCACTGTTGTTAGGTGAATCAGTGTTGCTGTTAGTAATACTATTGATAAGCAAATCTAGTTTCTCCCTTGACTTTTCTTGTCAGAAGGTCACAAAAAGATACAAAATATGACCCTGGGATACTATAACAATTATAAATATGAGTCAGTTGACAAGAGTTTGAATTTTGATCATGTGACTATGGGGATGTTGCAACAGTCGTGTGAAAAATGATCATAAGTCACCTTTTTCTGTGGTGGTGTAAGTTTGAATGGTCACTAAATGAACCATTATAAATCAAGGACTACCTGTACAAGAAATTGCATGTATCCTGTAGGTTATGGAGTTTGGGAGAGTTCAGCTGTTGCAGAAATTGTTGCTTCTAATTTATTTTAACTATAATTCTGGTAAAAAAAATGTGAAGTTTTTGTTCATTTGTTTCCATCTGAAATTAAGAAGGTGTATTATATTGGGGAAAAACTTCCATTTAAGTTGGCAGTCTGAAAAGCTGAACCTCTCAATAGCTCCTCTGAGAAAAAGATTCTCCACTCTTATACTTCTGTCCAAGTTTATATCAAAAGAAGTGATTAAAGGCTACTGAGAAAAGATGCATAAACAAAATGAATATAGTTTGTCAATTATACTGAATATGATCTGGAAGATATTTATATTTTTACTGGCTAGTTTTAAAACAGGGAGAGGAATTGTAATCCATAGACACCTAAATTATTGTGTCATTGACACAAATGATGCTGTTGTAACAGACAAACAAATGGGTGTGGAGACACTTGTAGCAATTTACCAACTCAGGACATTTCAGGAAATTGGCTCTGGATGTGTAGTAATACTTTACTTCCCACCTTCAGTTCAGATTTGGCCATATTTTGCACACAAAGAAAAGAAAGATTCTACCTTGGTTTTCTTGATATATTTGTGTAGGTATGTGGAGGAACACATCCAACGTACTGGGGTTGCTATTGAGACTCAAGGCTTTACCTTCATCACCAGTGGAAAGAAGCGAGAATCTCTCACGGTGAGATATACAGAGACACTCATTTTTAATATAACAGTGCATGTATCTCTGTTATGGCTATTGCTATTTAACCAGAAAGACTTGTCCTTCTTCAATATGCCAGCCACTGTCCATCCTTTTAAGCAGTCAATTGTTCTCTCCTCCAGTTTTGTTTTACTTGTTTTGTTTACCCATCAGCAGCCAATCAACATGCAACTATTGAACAGGCTTACATAAAGGTATTTAAAAGTTCCTCTCCCCACCCTTTTCATTTCCCTCCCCCTTAAAAAAGCTTAGGTTTCTACTAACTGCTGATGTTTTCTTCCTGTGCATGTGTAGTGCAGATTTGGTTGGGGAGCAATAATTTTACGGTAGCTGTCTTAATAACAATAAGCAGTAATAAAGAATGCAGAAAGTTGTGTTTTACAACATCTGGATGGCCACAGATTTCCCTCCACCTATACCGGGTTGTGCAACCTTAAACACTCAAGAGCCATTTAGACCCATTTCCCATAGAAAACACCAGAGCCACAAAACCTGGATGGGCACGGCCAACTTGACATCACGCACTGCTACCCAGTCATATGATACACACCCCAACCATGCCTACCCAGGTTTTATGGCTCCCAGTGTTTTCTATGGGAAACAGGTATCTGTGTGTATGTGTGTGTGTGTGTGTCTTTCCCCCCCCCATCTCTCTCTCTCTCTCTCTCTCTCTCTCTCTCTCTTGTGTGTGTGTGTGTGTGTGTGTGTGTGTGTGTGTTCCCTCTTGAACCATTTCCAAAAATAGGTGAAGATTGGGGTTTGGTTTTTTTGCTGATGTTATTCTTTCTTCTTCTTTGGGTGCTTTTTACCATATGATTTTAAGTTTCCCAGACAAATAAAATTCTTTCATCCCCCTGCTGTGGCTCTGTCAATTGAACCCATCACTGGCTGGCCCCACCCCTCACCCTTCCCTCTCAGTCACTCCTTGCCTGGCCTGAGAAGGTAAGGGCGATAGCGGGGGATGGAGACTCACTCCATATTCCAGAGCAGGAGCGAAGTGCCCCTGTACTTGCTTCATCTCACAGGTGCTTCTTCCAGCCCTTGTTGGTGCTGCACCTTGGTCACTCGGGGAAATGCATGACTTGCTGTCTGTCCTAAGACGCATTGTAATGGGCTCCAGGAGGAGGAGGGGACACTGTCTCCTCATTATGAAGCACGCTAAATTTATCTGCTCCACAAGGCACTGTGAGAGCGCAAATTTAATTTAGCCTGCCCGCTGCTCTCGTGACACCTTGCGCAGCACAGCTAAATTTAGCAAGCTTCACAATGGGGGAGACATCGTCCACTACTCCTCCTGAAGCCCATTATGATGCTGAGCATCAGACACATCTGGGCCAGGCCAATGTCTCGGGGCAGAAAGCAAGTCATGCATCTCCCTGAGTGGCCAAGGTTCACGTAGCACCAGCAAGGGCCAGAAGAAGCACCCGCGAGACGAGGCAACTACCAGGGTGCTTTGCTCCTGCTCTGAAATATGGTGTCCCCCACCATCACATTTACCTTCTCAGGCCAGGTGAGGAGTGACTGGGAAGGGAGGGTGAGGGGTGGGGCCAGCCAGTGGTGGGTTCAGCCGACAGGGAGCCACAGCAGGGGGACAAAAGAGTTGCATGCGGCTCTGGAGCCACAGGTTGCTGACACCTGACCTAGACTCTGCGGTGAGTTTGCTTGTGGTTTAGAGCAAGCATGTGACTTGCTTCCTAGGGTCACGTGTTATTCAGATGTTTGGACTTTCATACATTACTTTAGAAAGGCATATTTTATGCGTCCAAAAAGGAAAATGCATGAGACACAATAAAATTAATATTTAATTAATCCAGTTGCAATAAGTTGCACTTATTTTGGTCCTGGGCCTATCTAGCTTTTGAGCATACACACTGGCATTCCACATAAAAGATCAAAGGCAGCCATCAGCCTTGAAATAGTTGTGCACAATTGCTAAATAGAACTTGTCTAATGACTTTAAAAGACATCTGCTACAGCCGTAGTAATATCATGTATGCTAAAGCCTTCTGTTCTTCCACTCCTTTCCTGCAGGGCAATGCTACACTCCACCTCTACCCTCATTTTCAGATTTTGCAGAACTTCAAAGGTTAGTTACAGACTAAAGATAAATCAAGGGTTGGCTTTTAATTCAGAACAGTATTGTGTGGTCTGAATGAGTATTGCCTTTGATCAGGAAGCTGACATTTAAAAGTTGGGGTAATTGATCATTGACAGCTTGCCTGTGATAATTCATATCAGTAATGAAATTTGAAGTATGGCCTCTGGTTTTAGGATTATTAGAAGGAAAATATTGTGTCTGTTATCTGTTAATAACAAGAAGCTGTTAGTAAATTTTAACATTCTGCTCTTTATCATTCATTTAGGAGTGCCAGAATACCTGAGTACTGAGATTTGTACCTCCAAGCAGAAACAATTTCCTCTGATCACTTTTCTTGATACTCCAGGCTTGGTAGATGGTGATATGAAATACCCTTTTGATGTGGAGGGAGCACTGATCTGGTTTGGTGAGTATAACTTCAGGAAATAGTCTTGGTTCTTGAAGAAGGATTCTATTACATTGGAGCCTGGAGCCTCAGGAAGTTTTGAAAATATGTTTCTCAAGTCATCCTAGCCCTCAAAATGAAATAGATGTGCCTGAAAAAAGTTGAATCAGAAGATGGATTAATATAGGTAACCCAGGAACGGTTTCAGTCTTAGCAAAAATCCTGAAATAAAATATAGGCCTGGTGATGGGAGAACACAATTTAGCATAGGGCATTTTCTACTGTAGTAGCCCTTAGCTTGAAATAGTCTACTGATTTATTATTTCTGTATGAATTTTCTCCCCGTGTTATATAGCATCCTAACTCCACCCCTTGTAATCTTGTTCAGGCCAACTCTGCGATCTTATCCTGGTCTTCTTTGATCCCATGGGGCAGGCTCTTTGCAAACGGACCTTAAACATAGTGGAGAAGATCAATGAAGAGCACGGGGACAAGTTACACTTTTATCTGAGCAAAGCTGATGAGGCAGGCTCCGAGGGTGACCGGCAGGTAAAAATCTCCCATGAATAATGGGCACAGATTGGGATGGGGAATGGTCCTCTCATGGAACAGAAGGAATTAAGAATGGCAGTTTATAAAATCATGTTTGTATGTGTTTTTTTTTCTTTTTGTCTGACAGCGGGTGCTGATGCAAATTGTTCAAGAACTTTGTAAACGCCCTGGCCTCAATAAATGTGGGTTTGACATGCCTACAATTTACATTCCCAACCCCAATAAGGTGAGCTATAAGCTTGGAATTATTTTAGATGTAAGAGTGAAGAAGAAGCCATGATTAATCCAGGCTTCTGGAAGGATGGGTGAGCCTTGGGATGGATGGAAGAGAAGAGCTTGTTGGTCAGCATCCTATGAGGATGCGGAAGAAATTGGGACTGAAAATAGAATGCTGATAGGTTCTCTGCAAAATGGTGATATACGTTTTCACTCCGCCCTTAGCCAAGTCGGTGCGTTAATCATATTGAGGCAGTCTGTCGCACAATTGAGAAGACCATCAGCCAGACTGTGCAGAATACACTCAATGCCCTGGAAAGGGATTGCCGGCTCATTGAAGAGGCCACACAGCATTTGCTAGAGGATGACAAGTAAGAACATAGCATTGTGGGAGTGGGAGTCTTGACATCTGAGAGGCCCTATCATTTACAACAAAAGAGGGATGGTAAATCAGATCCCAGGTAGAAAACTGGGTATGTGAATTTGTGTGTAAGATGGCAAATTGAGTCACCTTGTGGCGAGATGGGTGGCAAATAAATTTAACTAATAATAAAAAATAAAATAAATTGAGAACAGAGTGGAAAATCTTGACAGCTATTGAGAGATAAATGATAGATTGCTATGGAAGGAAAATTGAGTAGAAAGTGAGTAGAAAAAGTATTGAAAGCATGCTGTTAAGCTGTTCACTTGACCTATCTCAAAGGATTGTTATGTAATTTATAGCACAGTCTTGCACACATTTACCCGGAAATAAATTCCACAGAAATGGAGCATTGTAATGAATTGCAATGTAGACTAATAATCTAGATTTCTTTAAAGGATGGCTGGTCACATATTCAACTATTTCAAAGGTAACTAGGATTGGAAGGTTCTGGCTGCTGATCTTTACTTTAAAAGGGGTGACAAGGTTATAGTTAGAGAGAGAAAAAGTCCTAGGAAACTAATATCTGCGAGAGTGTTGAAGATAGGCTGTTTCTAGGGGAATGCAGGATTTAATGCTATTTAGCTAAATTTCTTCCCAAATTCCATACGCTGACTTCGCTTTTTCACTTTTTCTGTTACTCAAGAGAGGCCAGAAACAGCAACTTCCATGCTTTCTTTCGTGGGATACTTCTGGGCATAGCGGGTTGCCTATTGCCTATTTTTCTTCTTCTGGCATTGTTATTTGGCACAACGTTTGCTCACGAACTGTGGACCTTGGTCCTGGGGGAGAAGCAAATCCAGACCCTGGAACTATACACAGTGAGTTCTTTTGTGTCTGTTTCCTAGAGTCCCACAAGCACCCTTTTCTCACTTTAAAATACCCCTCACGCCTTGCATAGAAAAAATGGTCCTGGAAATTGAATTCCATAACCTTAGAGTCTCAGCTTTCATGCCTTGAGGGTATGGGAAACAGGTTTTTCTAGCCTTACATCCACAAAGCAACACAAGCTGATAGGTAGGGTTTTAAAACATGCAGCTTCTAAAAGCTATAGAACGAGAGAATGAAAAAACAGCACAAAACCCAAGGAAAATGCACCAATAATGAAGAATGGCCTGCTATTGCAAAATTCAGAATCCTGGATTTCTTTTTCTTTCTATCCTGTTGGTTTTTTTTTTTTTTTTTGCAGAAGAAATATGTAATAATCAAATTTCTAATTCTTACAGCAATAGAAATAGAAATTAAAGTTTGCTGTAATTAGAACAGATGATAGCCTTTATAAAGTTTTGGTTATAGCTGGGGAACTTAAGAAACAATCATTTAGAGAATGCCTATTTGTCACAGGTACTTGCTAACTACTTTAATTATAGTTAAAATGTATACTAATTATATATACAGGTAATCCGTGACATGACCACAATCAAGCCCAGAATTTATGTTGCTAAATGAGAAATTTATTGAGTGATTTCCCATTTTACTTTCTTGTTACACTTGTTAAGTGAATCACTTCAGTTGTTAAATTAGTAACAATTAATTACTTGAATCTGGATTCCCCATTGACTTTGCTTGTCAAAATGTCACAAAAGATGATCACATGATCCTGGAACACTGCAACCATCATAAATTAGTCATCAACCTTCCAAATGTAAATCACATGATCATGGGGATGCTGCAATGGTTGAGCATGTGAAAAATGGTTATGTTTACTTTTTTCAATGCCGTTGTAACTTCAAACGGTCACTAAACGAACTCTTGTAAATCAAGGATTACCTGTATATTATTGCCATAAAATTTAGATATTGTTGGTAGAAATGTATTTTTTATATTATTATTTTCTTAAAAGTGTAAGTGGATATATTTATGTTTTCCTCAGGTAATATCAAGTATACCATTTATTCTTAATCCCACTTTTCAGCAGCCAGTTGCATCATTCTGGAGACTTGTCCCTGAAGATCAAACCTTTACTGTATTTTTTGGTCTCCTCTTCCTCTCGATTCTCTTCCTACTATTGGCCAGCTACACTCTCAGGTAACAGCATTTCTGTTTACCAGGAAGTGTTGTTCACTACACTTCTTATAATGTTCCTTTGTCTCTTTTGTCCCACTTAGAATGAAGCCCACTCTCTCCAAAAAACAGAAGCAGCACTTGGAAGATCGACGGGATTACGTGGTGTATGAGGTCTTGGCTAAGAAGGTTAATGCTTTGGGAATTTGGGTGGGGAGGTTTGAAGTTGTGCCGTAAGGCCTGGTACCTATTCTGTAGGACCCACGTGGGCGGGGACATGAGTCCTGCTTGTATTCTGTGGTGGCTGGGTTGACTAGCGCAGCAAATTAAAAAATTACACTTTTTCTCTGCAGAGAAAGCTCTATGAGGAATACCTTCGACAGAGCATTGGTGAGCAGGACTTGAGCTGAAACCAGCCCATTCTGACGAGATTCCATGCCCCCCCATCAATACTTAGAGAAGAGTATTTACAACAGCAAGCTGTGAAAGTCCAGTTGATCCAATCCAGTTGCTATCTCTTTCATGTTAGTTGGATAGGGATGGCATCCTGGGCCCTTTTGAACTGCGACTAACCATACCTCTAATATCCTACATCTGAAAGGATTGATTTACTGATTATATTTTTTTGCTAATCTGTTTGCTGCCTATGGATAGAATGATGTTTTCAGACCTTATGAGGGGACTGTAGCGGCAAAGACCAACTCTGCATCCAGCTGAACTTGGCTCCTGGTTTTAGGGATGGTAGAGCCCTGCCCGATGTTAAAATATAAAACTTTATAAATCAGTGGTCTGCTTTTTTGGCTCCTATCATAATAGGCAAGTGTATTTGCATCAAGATGTAACAGGAACAATTTCTGGATTGCTGCCTTAGTCGCTCAGTGATCTAAAGCGACAGTTCACATAAGTTCATTATGCTAAGCATAGCATAATTTTATCTGTCATTTGTACGTATATACCTCATATTTGTAAATGTGCCCATATGCTACAGGCATGCAGCTAACTATTCCCTTCCATTTCATATGAGCAAGTGCCTCTGTGTAACCATCTCTTGGGAGTGAAAGATGGGATATGGCTCCTGGTAGCAATCTCTTTATTGTTTGGCCATAGCCCAACCAATGCCAGTACAGTACTTAACACTGTGAGATTTTCCCAGACCTGTGACCTTCTAGGCTTTATAATTTATTCAGCATCCCGTGGAACATGCGGGGAACCCCAAGCCAGCTTTTCCTCCAATGCCGGGAAATATTCTGAAAAAAGGCCATGTTTTGGCCAGTTCAGCTAACTTGATCGCACTGCACCGCATGCATCAGTTTTGGGATACTACCATTATCATGGCTGTATCTAGAAACATTTTGCTGGCTCTTCAGAGATGCTGTGTATTAAGTCCTTCTGAAGTTGGACTTCAGCTCCCATCAGCCTTAAGTAAAATAATGTAGCTCATGATGTTATAAAGGAGACATTACTTTGCAGAATTTTAACAGGGTCCTTTATAGTAAGTGCAACAAAAAAAATAAAACATTAATTTCTTTCTTCAGTTTGAGCAATTTGGGGATAGAAAAACAGTTGACCCACATTATCCTAGCTCTGGTAATCCATTAAGATAATTTTCGATGCTCTTTATTCCCTGTTCCCCCTCAAGTTGTTGGGGGGATTGATTTGCATTATCTTTGCTTCTCTGCAAGCTGTCTTTCATCTTGTTGGCATAAGCTTCTGGAGAATGGCATAGATGATGACAAACCAAGTTAAATATTTGCCAGAGTTATTTAACATTTATTAGAATGCATCTCTTCTTGAGGTATCGAACTGACCTGAAATTAAAGAACTTAATTTTTATGCCATGTGCACCAGCAAATACTGCCAAGGTACTTTGGGAGGATAGCGGGAGGGGTTTGAGTATTTAATAAAAGCTTATTGTAAAATCTGCCTCAGTTTCTTTTCTGTTCTCACTGTGAATATGCTTCATTTCAAATAATTGCGAGAAAACAGTTAAGCTGATTTTATTTAGCATGGAAAAACACAAACGCACATCTTAAGGAACTAAGAGTTGAATATAATGCTATTCTCTCTATCCCAATATAGGTTTTTCTTGATCCACTCTCCTGCTTCCCCAATTTATGTGAGGTTAACATTGCCACATTTCCCCCATATTATAAAATTTACTACATCTCATTTTAAAGAGAAAGAAACAAATTGGGTTACCATTAATAACAGCATTTATAGATAAATCAATTCCCCTTCTCTGGATAACTTTCAAAATGATTTAAGACATCACAATATCCTGACTTTTTTGATTGGGGAGGAACATTGAAGAAGAAAAAAAAGCAAGCCTAGGACAACTATTTGCTTTTCCAAACCTAAGTGTACAATCATTCCATTTGCTTTTCCAGAGTGAATAATTATTAAGGCATGGGTTCTGCCCCCTGATGGTTTTGGGATGAATTGCAGCCTTCACTTTCACTCGTTCCTGATGTGAGCCATAAGGCTATCTACCATCTTCCGTAATTCAAGGAACCACCAAATTACACGGCGTCCATCCGTCAGTCTCCGTAGCCTCGTCGACATTGCCATGGTGTCTAGATCCTGAGTAGTGAACCAGATTCAGAGCTAGTGAGAGAGGAAAGAAAATGCTGAGTGGTGGGTGCAGCTTCTACGTAGGGAGGGGGAAAATGTTTATATCCACTTATGTGAGCTCCAAATGGCTGATAAAAATGGTTTAAGAAAGGGGGGGGGGTCCAATATTAGGAACTTTTAAAACTTATGGACTTCAATTCTCAGAATTCCTCAGCCAGCATGGCTGGTTCAGGAATTCTGGGAGTTGAAGTCCACAAATCTTAAAATTTGCCACGATTGGATAGTCTTGGTTTAACAGAATAAAAAATGCATTGCATTTAATATGTGGCTGTATATCCTTTCTCTGCAAGGAAAGCAGCTCCTCCCAGCTGCTTTTTACCAATTTCTGTCAAGTGACAATCATTTGAGTTAAAACTCTTGACATCAGTGGAGCTATTTATTGAGCCATACACTGGCTTCTCACCTGCATTTTTTCATTTTTGGGAGGTTGTCGCCTTTCGCTTCTGCTCTGTGCGTTGCAGCTTCAAAACGATCTTGCGCTCATGGCCACCAGGATTTGGGCGATTTGTATGATCCTCAGCCTCTTTCTTGGATCGGCCTTTGCGTGAAGAGCCACCTAGGGATACCCCAGAACAATGGTTAATTACTTAGGGCCATTGAAACTTGCTCTTGTGTAAATCAAGGAGTAATCAACAGTTTATTAAATGTTGAACATCAACTTCAGCCTCTCTTGCCATCTATTAAGCAAAGTAGGAGTAGCAAGAAGAGCTGCAGGATGTCAAAAAAAAGTTGAGAAGGCAGCCATCACCACATAATCAAAACTACTCCTTTTTACATGCATTGCATGCCACCTTTATTCCCTTTGCAATCAGTAACCACTTGAAAAATAATGCCTTCTCTTTACTGTCTTAGCAAAGAGTAAGAAATGTGAAATTCTGGTTTATAATCTTCAGACCCCGTGAAAAGTATTCTAGCTCAGTAGAAAAACAGAGATACCAAAATCAAATGTTAAGATAATTATTTTTAGGCTATGTGGTTGCCACTCTCTACAAACCAATGGTAATTTGAGGAAAATGTTTTAGAAATGAAAATAATAGTTTGAGCTTTCCACTAAAATGAGTTGTCAGGGCTTGTTTTAGGCCATCTGTAGTAGGCATGTGCCTAGATGAAAAATTTGGCTGGAACTTTCTGATGTGCACTCGAGTTGATATTTCTTTGGCTTCTTCTACAGTGCAAAAGCAAATTTGGGAAGCTATAACTTTTTTAAAAAAATGATGGGATGAAAAAACAGGCTCACTATTATTTTTTGGTTAGGAATTCGTCAACTCAAAAGATGGTGGTTACTGGTTTTTTTTTCCAGGCACTGGAGCTAAAACATAAAATTATGTATTTTTAGCAAAGGCGGGTTTGCCAATCATTGTGGGAATCATGTGGCAGGCACACACAGTGTACGCAGTGCCAGCAGAGTCCCTGATCCTAAGTGTCTGTGGATATAAGACCAATGTGGGATTTTTAACAGCTTGTAGGTGAATAAGAGAAAAACCTAATGAATCATTTGGCTAATTAACCCACAATGCCTAGATTTACATAAAATACTAACCAAATCCAAGAATCTGGAAACAATATCTTTGTTCACAAATTTTGTGAAGTCATGATTTATGTAGCAAACTATACAATTGTCAGATCATGAAAGCTAAGGTATGTTGGCTCACAAGATTTCAGAAATAATTCAATATGGATTATCATGCAAGTACTTTCAACCAACTCCTTGGTGTATAGTAGAGCCAGAAGTATTTTTCACCTAGATTAATATGTATTATGTATGTATGTATTAAAGCACTTTTGTAGAGATTGCCATTTCTGTGTTATGGGCGTGGTGGTGTCCATGTGTGAAAGTGAAATCTGACATCTAATCGGAAAGACAAATTCCGGATTAATAATTTCAGAACAAAACTAGACCCGTCACATCCTGAACAGAATAACAGAGTTGGAAGGGACCTTTTCCACTGATCGTTAATTTGATTAATTTCACGCTAATACTGTTTGCAAAACAGGCAACCTCGAGTGTGTTTACAATCTAAACACAGGCATGTCTGTAGGGGGCGTGCATAAGCGCACCAACGTGTCTATCGTCCCTGTCCTATTGTTTCTTCTTTATTCGTATCCATTTCAGGTATTCATAGCCATGCTTATACCTATATACTTGCTTGACAAATAAATAAATAAAATAAATGCAACTCAAGTCACAATGTAATGTACATCTGACGTCACCTATCTCTCCTCCTCCTTGCCACGCCCCACGGGTGTCCTAGCCAACATTAAGTGACGCCACATCCCACCTAACGCCCAAGCTGGATTTTTTTTTTCATGTGGCCTTTTTTTGGTTTGTTGATCGGTCCCTTAAAACTTACGCTTTTAAAAATTCTAATTTGCTTTAATCCCCCCCCCCCCAACTAGCTGGATCCCACAACTGGCAGGTGTGCCAGCGTACCTACCGCTGTATCTGTCGGTCAAGCTGTAGAAATCGTATTGATCAAAGTATTCCACCTCGAAAGCGGTCGGGCGCAGCTTCTCGGCTTGGACGAAGGAAGTGGACATGATGAGGCGTCTCTTGCTCCCAGATGGCAGAGAAGACAAACAGGGCGATGAGGCGTTTTGCAGCGACAACCGATCCTCCAAACTTGTTTGTTTGGGGGAAACTGGATTTCTATGTATATATAATATCTCTGGTTTTCCGAGAACGCCCACAATTGCATCAGCCTTTCCCACCCCTTAAAGCTGCAGGCTAGAAAACAGCCCAGCTTATGCAATGGCTGATAAACAAATGCCAAGCCAATACTATATTGGAGTCAGACAATTGTCCACAGCAAAGGATGAAGCAAATAGCTTATTCTTAGCATATGACTTCAAGGTTGCATTAAAACCTTGCTTGAGAACAACAAAAGGCAAAAGGCTTATACAAATAGTGCTGATACTATCTCAAGAGTTTCTGCTTTTGAATTGCTGTGAGCTATGTGGATTTGTCTTGCAAATAAATGAAAACAATCCTCCATGTGCTGTGTGCTTGGGCATGTATGTCTACATGCTTCAGGTGTTACTGCCTTTGGTGAAAATAGACATCACTCATCACGTTTTCAATATGTATTCACCATTCCTTAGTGTGGGCTACTCACTTGTTAAGGGGAAGGGGCTAGGGATATATGAGTGGTCTTCCACAAGGGTAGCTTTATTAGAAACAAATATCAATTTAAAATCTGTGTCATCTTGAGCAAAATTATTCTATTTCCTATACTTTTGAAAACAAAACATGTGAAAGATAGGTTGTGAATTGTAAAAGTGTTTTTGCTTAAATGTTATTTGAACTTTTTAAGTTTCCCTGTATAGAATGAAAAGCATTCATTGAATTATCCTTCTGAGCTCAGAGTTTGGGTTTTGAGCCTACCATAGTCTTCATTTCTGTATTGCTGATAAATGATGTTAGTAAATATAAAACATGTATGCATTTTTCATTTTATGCAGAAGGATGTTAATAGCAAAATATTTTATATGTTTACAGACTATGAATGCAAACACCATGTGGCTCTGGAACACTCTATGATCATGAACTACAACTCTCATCTTCCTATCATGAGTGCTGAATGGGACTGGTGGCACTTTAAATCCAAGTCATCAAATTCCTTGGCATCCTTCAGTTGTCTTCCTCTTATTGTGATAGTCCTGTCACTAGGAATGTCTGCCCCCCTAGACAGCGATCCCTTGTTTGCTGCTTTTTTTTTCTTTTTACATTTTCTATTGGCTGTTAAGATATTTGCCTTGGTCTGGACTATGTCCAAGACAAACAGATGGAATCACAAGGACAAGCTTAGTCAATGTTATTGCTGAGCTCCAAGGTGACTTACTCTGAGTTTTCCTCTCTCTTTTCTTTTCTCACCCCCTCCATCAGGAACTGTTCAGCAATTTTAAAAAGTTTGTTACTGCTTTCTCTAGTCTAGGTATTAATTTGGGCATATCAAATCTGGGTCATTTTGGGTAGTCCCATGAAAAGATAATTTGTGATAAATCAACTTCTGAATTCAATAGAAATCTAGAGTCCAGGGGCACATATATTTTGTTCCCAGTGCAAAATAGTCATGATGCATCGATTCCTTTTATTATATAACTGAACAAATAAACAGTTTGATCAGGACATAGGGAAAAAAGAAAGGGGGACATTCTGAGCAGACTTTATGCAAGAGAATGAAAGATAACTTCCGACACTCAAACATTCTCCAGTTTGTCTAAAATCTCACCTTGAAGTTTCTGTTGCTCACATAATAGGGAAAAAATTGAAAGGTGTTGGATGGCATACCCTCTCCCCCATTTTTCAGTTGAGAGGGAGTCAATTTACAATAGATATACATAACTGCAGAAGAAGAACTATCCCATATAGCTAACTTCATATAGAGTGGATCCAAGCAACATATGGCCACCTTCAGTTTGAGATCAGATATGAAGGAAAGAAAAGAACAGAAAAGAAACGATGAAAGGGGAGGAGAGGGGAGAAGATAGTTTGAGAAAGTTTAGTCACAGAAAAGAAGGCATTAAAATAACATAAAGAGTATTTCTTTCCAGTTCATATAATTCTATCAAAAGAAGGAGAGGATCTGCCCTTCTGCAAACTTCTCAGTTGGGCATCTGGGCAAATCAAAAAATTGAAACTCCACCCGTTTATACATGTGTCACATAGGTATGCAAAAAGTGATTGGGCTTCAATTGCAGTTGCGGCCACCATTTTGAATTTTTTGACACCCTGTGGATGCCCACTATGTAGCCAGGTATGCAACTTTGTATAGAATATGGATCTATACATTCATTGTGGGCTTATCCAAAAGTTTTCAGTAGTGCAATTTTAAGAGGTTATTACTATTGGTAAACAACTGGTTGTCTGAAATAGGTGTTGGTCATGCAGAGATCTGTTGCTAGATGCTGATCTAATTATTACTCACCCCCCATTTAGATCTATACTATATTTGTGTATGCAGATTATAGTGTTGCATCTCCATGTAGATAAGTTCATCTAGTGTTTTTCAAACTCATCAACTTTAAAAAGTGTGGACTTCAGCTCCCAGAATTCCTCAGCCAGCACCCTGAATCCCACTCTGATTGTGGAAGAGATACCATATAATAATGGATCCCAGACATAATCAAGACAGTACATAAGATAAGAATTTTAGATTAGCAGTAGTAATCTAAAACACTGACCCAATCAACTAAACAATAGTTTGGATATTTGGCAAGGCATCACAATAGTTTATAATTTTTCTGTTCTTCTCAGAACCTGTGAAAGTACATTAAAGAGACTTTTATAGAGGCTTTTCATGGTATAATATCTATACTAACAAAGCAGAATATGAGTGAACCTTCAGATAGTTTAGGCAATAACAAGCCTCCAAAAAAGCAAATCTTTGAAGGTGCTACTTGCTAGTGAGCTTCAAAACTCAAATCTTACAGTGATGGTTGCATTCCAAACTGTTTCCCTCAAATATTCTATAGCAGGAGATTAAACTCCCCCCCCTTTCGCTAAACTGGATGGGGGTGGGGCCAGCTCATGAGGCATCTGACCCGTGGACCGTGAATTTGACACTCCTGTTCTACCGGAACATTTGGGGCAAGTCCAAAGTCCATGGAGCATAATAATTTAAGCAAGATTTTCTACCATTAAAGCTTGAATAATTGAAATGCATTATGAATAACTATCCAAAATCACTGTTACTGCACATTGTATGCTGCTGAGGGGCTCCTGAATGAATGGTATGGAAAGGAAAGCTCGCTGTTAAGCAATTGGTTCTGCAGAAGTCAAATGAAAGCTGTCCTAGAACATAGAACATTGAATAATAGAGTTGGAAGGGATCTTGGAGGTCTTCTGAAAGCAAGCCATGTTTTCTCTCGGTTAGCTTTGTCTAGTGAGAGCATTCATCCAAGGAACAGTTTGCCTTCAGAAGTTGTGGGTGTTCCATCAGTAGAGGCTTTCAAAAAGAGACTGGATAACAATTTGTGTGAAATGGTAGGGTCTCCTGCTTGAGCAGGGGGTTGGACTAGAAGACCTCCAAGGAACCTTCCAACATTATTATTCTGTGTTCTATGTTCAAGCTATTCCATTGGTTGATTACTCTCACCAGATGTCTCCCTTCTGGAGACTTGGCAAAGCAAGCCCAGAGAAAACATTACTTCATTTTGTATCACCTAACAACGTTAACACTACAGAGAAATCAAAGCTGCATTTTATAACCAGCCCATTAGGGTATTAATATTGGAAGCAGTAATGTTTTGTTTTTTATTGGGCAGCTGAAATTTTTTTATCAGAAATCATTAATCACCTTTTTTCATTGTTCCTTCTTTCTTTCCCCTGTTCCGGCTCATGAGTTCTGCTTTTGTTTCACAAGAAAGTCATATTAGTATATTAATAGTATACTTACGGTTAGCACTACATTTTCTCTTCTCTAAAGAAAGTGAAATTGCATTTTTAAAGTTTCATTTCCCCATTCTTTCTTGCAGCAATTGTTTTGCTTGAGATCGGTTGAAAAAGGAGTCTGGAGAAAACTCCATATACCAGGTTTTTCATGCAGTACGTGCAATAAATGCATATTTTTGTGCATGGCTTTCACAAGCATGTATGCCCAGTCTAAGAAGGGTGCAATTGATAATTAATGTGCTGTGAAGTTGGCACCAACTGCTAATGACAACATAGATAAGATGTTTTCCAGGACAATCAAGTATAACCAGGTCCTTCAGGTCTTTGAAAGGTATTCCATCATCTTTGTAATCCATTCCATCTTGTTACTGATTATCTTCTTCTTCTTTCCTTCAACCTTTCCCAGCATTAGAGCGTTCTCCAGAGAGTTGGGTCTTTGCATAATGTGTCTGAAACAGGATAATTTATATCTTGAGTAGGAATTCTGGATTGATCTTTTTTTCTGGGATGCATTTGTTTATTTTTTTCTGGCTGTCCTTGGCATTCTCAGAAGTCTTCTCCAAGACCAAAGTTCAAATGCATAAATTCTCTTCAAAGTCAAATTTTTGCTTCCATAGGTGGTCACAGGGAAAACAGTTGCACAATTCTGATCTTGAGAACAATTGTGATCTTGAGAACGGTGTAATATAATGTAAATGAAACGTTTTCATTCTTGTGAATGCAAACATAAAACATTTATTAACTATACATTTTATTTTAATGAAACAGAGTACAGGCTTAAGTTGCCTCTAATAAAGCCATAATTAGTGCTAATCATCTTATGTAATTATCTTAACGAGGCCATCACAGGTTAAGATCAACATGAAGACTAATTTATTTATTATGTTATAAAATTCATGAAATGCTTCACGAGACGATAAAGATTTTAGGCTTTCATTTCACTCCATTTTACTACAAGTCTAAGGTCCGTTAATCAGAATTGAGTACAAAAGACATGCACATTGATCCAATGTTCAGCCAATTTTGTTGTCAAAGCCACAAGTGGATGAGTTCACATATTATATTAAGTTATAATGCAGTTTGTTTGGTTTAAGTTGAGCCAATCATTCTGTTTTATAAATCATTTATAAACCACAAGGACTGGGTTTACATATCACTTTGTAATAAGCAAACAAACAATCCATATTTTGTGTTAATATGAATCTCAAGTTAGATAAGCATGTTGTGAACCTAGGAGCTAATTTTCTGAATCTGAGGTGAATTGAATTCATGCAAATTTTGTTACACAATTGGAAATCAGAAATAACTAATAATCTACTGTATATCACATAAATGTACATACTACAGTTCTGTCTGTATCTGTTTTACTTCATGAAAATGTTGTTAAAATAATTTTAAGGGAAACAAATATCATTCTATTTCTAGAAAGTTTATGTGAAATCTACGATAATTATCACAGTTAAGGTATCGCCACACTGAACTTTTGGAAGCATGGTTTTATGATGCTTAAGAAGAAGCCAAAATAATTCATCCAAGCAAAAAATCTCAGGAAGATATATATAGTAGGAATGAAGCTTAGATAACATTTAAATTCACTTTAGCTTCTGATGGATGCAGTTATGGCCCCAATAGACAGGAGAAAGGTATAACTGACTAACTGTAGGCCATTGCCCAGAGTTATATTGTTGTAAGATGGTGGCAAACAAATTTAAATAATATATTAAATATTGTAAGCATATAGCAAAGTTGTGAGGTAGTCTTAGCTAAATATTTTTTTAAAATGCTCTCCTCTGAATTTTATAGCTTCCATCCTCCAGAAAAAATAAACTTAGCAAAATAAACTCAAGTTTATAGCTGCAAAAGTATGTTGAAAAAAGAAATACAGTGAAAGCTGTAGAATTGTTTTTCAAATACCTCACTCCACTTTTCCTTCCTCTTAATAGAGACACCAAGATCCTAGATATGGCTGGTTTACAACTCCTATTGGGGGGGGGTGTCTTGACTTACCACCACAATTGAGCCCAACATTTATGTTTCTAAGTGAGAAGTTTGTTGAGTGAGTTTTGCCCCATTTTACAACTTTTCTTGCAACAGTTGTTAAGGATGCCTTTAAATTAGTCACACTGAATCTTAGGTGAATCTGACTTCCCCGTTGATGTTGCTTTTCAGAAGGTTGTAAAAAGGGATCCCGTGACCCCGGGACATTGCAAGTGTCATAGATATGAGCCGCTTGTCAAGCAGCCAAATGTAAATCACATGACATAGGGATGCTGCAATGGTCATGTGAAAAACGGTCATGTCATAAGTCACTTTTTTCAGTGCCACTGTAACTTCGAACAGTCACCATATGAACAGTTGTAAGTCAAGGACTACCTGTATATAATTTGTAAGTTAACACAAAAGCACACTAACACTTAATGGAAGTGCCCATTATAAAAACAGACCTCATATAGCATTGTTAATCATTTAGAGCAGTGTTTCTCCAATCTTTTCCCCTCATTCTAAGTCTCATTACTAGATATAGACATAGGACAGTAACTGGCATATTTTCTGATGTGAACAAGATATTATTCGCAGTATATTTTTCTTTTCTTCCCTTGTTACATGCTATGGGGCCCTTGAAATATCTAGGATCTCCAGGGAACCGTATGGCTCTCAGTTGAGAGCCATGATTTGTACAGAGTTCAACAAGAAAGAGGGTTTTGCTGCCACCTATTATACAGGTAATCCTCGACTTACAATTGGGACCGGAATTTCTGTTGCTAAATTGCAATTGTTAAGTAATTTGCACCTGATTTTATGATCTTTTTCTGCCATGGATAATAAGTGCATTACTGCAGTTGTTAAGTGAACCAAGTGGTCATTAAGTGTATCCAGCTTTTTCCCATGGCTTAGAAGATTGCAAATGGTGATCACATGACACTGGGGTACTGCCACCATTGTAAATACATGCCAGTTGCCAAGTGCTTGAATTTTGATCACATGACCGTGGGGATACTTGATGGTTGTTAAGTGTGAGGCCCGTTGTGCCATTGTAACTTCAAAGGGTCATAAAAAGTAGTTGTAAACCAAGGGATTACCTACCTATAAAAGCAGTAGCAAACTACAGTACTTCTGATGTGAACTCTGCCTTCCTGTGATTCTGATGACTAGCAGTTTTAGTTCAGCCAGTGCTGTAGCACAGAACATTATCTAGAATCAATAATGCTGGGCTGGTACAGTTTGTTCCTGAACATAATGAACTGAGTATGACTTAAGTCAACATGATGCAAATTGTCCTGAATGTGGGGAGGGAAGCATCATACTGGCCAATGAGAGAAATTAATGCAGCTAATAAAATTGTCACTGTAATTTGAGAAGGGTTTCTGCATCTGCTTGTCTATTTTTATTTTTAATGACAAAAAGTTTTCCAACGGTTCAATTAAATCTTCAACAAATGGTAAACATGATATTTGAGCCAGTCTCTCTCTCAGCCTAATCCACTCACAGGATTGTTGTTGTGGGGCAAAATGGATGCCATGTTTGCCACCTTGAGTTATTTGTAAAAATAATGAAGGCGGGATACACACAGATAGTCTGCAACTTTATTCGGCATAAATTCTTGTGGATCACAGTTCATTTTATCTAATGCATGGAATATAATCCTGGAAGGCATATGTCAACAATGTTGATTTATTGATGTTTCAGCTGTTCCATATTGTGGTTTGATCGGTTATATGTCTTAATCTTAGTATTTGTTTTTGTTTTGTAATTGCATTAATCCACTGCAATATGCTTGCTACAAAAAAGAAGCATGTTCTCCGCAGGAATCTCTCACTTTTTGCAATTTATTTGCAGCGTTTTTTGGAGACATTGTTTTGATTTTGAGAATGCCTGTTGACTGTAATTGTTTTCGTATCAATTCCGTGTTAGGTTTCATGCTTGCAATTCTGTAACGCTTACTTATAAGTAAACTTAAATGAGTATGACTTATCTCCAAGTAAACTCCATACGGAAATATATATTCTCCCCCTTTTTACTTTCTCCTCCCGATTTGCACGCGAAGTAACAACTTTTTAGAAAATGTTAGTATTGTATGAACCGCGAACGCATCTCAAAAACCTCAAGGTTTGAAAAGATAAGCCATGCGCTCTGGAACAAATCCGCGCTTGAAAGTAAACCAAAGAGCATGCGTCGATCAACAAAAACTACAATTCCCAGGAGGCTGTTAGCTTTTGGAAATAATAAATTATTCCACAATCCTGCTTTTGGGTAGATTTTTAATTCTTTATCCCGCTGTAGAGGTCTACTTGGATATATCTTGTTCCTCATGACCATGTTCCGAATTAGTTAAAAAAAAAAGATTGGGAAGAACAACGCAGAAATAGACAGAACTATTTTTTAGAGTGGTTCTTTTGTGTGTGGGGGGGGGGGCTGGGGTGTGTGTGGGGGGAGGAGCGAAGTCACCAAAGCGCATGCGCAAAATAGCCCGTGAACGGGAAATTGATTCCGCGGATTGCGCGTGCGTTAACTTCCCACCGCTCACTGCGCACGCGCCAGTCACCTAGCTGTAGGAAGTCCGCTGTGCGAGGTTTCTGCGTCATTTTCAGGCGCGCGTACCGCCTTTATTTATTTATTTATTTATTCATTTATCGTTTATCGAACTTGAGTCGAGCGTTATTCTGCAAACGGATTTTAAACGGTAGGGGATCAAGGGTTTGCCGAGGTAATGGGAACTTACCTGAATAAGGGGGTGAAGAAGTGTATAATTGTACTGATTATAATTGTGTTGTGTCGCCCCCTACTGGTTTCCTTTGCATGTTGAGGATTTATTCTGTGTTGCGGCGTGCGTGGTCGATCATTCCAATACAGGTAGTCCTCGACTTGCAACAGTTCATTTAGTGACCGTTCAAAGAGACAACGCTATTTGAAAGAAGTGACTTATGACCATTTTTCACACTTGCGACCATTGCAGGAATCCCATAGTCACGTGATCAAAAAATCATGCTTGGCAACTGATTCGTTTATGATTGTGTCCCAAGACCATGTAATCTGCTTTTGCAACCTCCTGACAAGCAAAGTCAAGGGGTGGGGGGAGATCCAGATTTACTTAATATACGCAATGATTCAGTTAACTGTGGCAAAAAAAGTCGTGAAGTGGGGCACTTAGCAAATGTTTCACTTAGCAACATAAATTTTGGACTCAATTGTGGTGGTGGTAACTCAAGGACTACCTGTATATAGTGATGCCCCTTCTTTCAACCAATGCATCATGAGAATACTGTATTGTATTTTGAAGGAGATAGCAGATTCTCCTGTTTTCTTTGGATGTTACAAATGAAAGGTCATATTCTTCAATATTCAGTGAAAATGTACCAAGTAACATGTTTCTGACAGCAAGCGCATAAATTGCAATTGTCTGAATGCATCTTATCCTGTAAATGTGCATATTGGATTTGCAAATAATAGTTGGAAGTCATATATGTATTTATTACTTTCCAGAGGGATGGCTTTTACTGTCTGTTGGGGTGTAAATCTGCTTCCAGAACTTTTAGGCCAACCAGGGTGGGATGCTTGGTTGATAAGGATATTAAAGTTCTACTTTGTTCATGCCAAGGAGACAACAGTTCTCAGGGTGAAGTTGAATAAAATGAAGCTAAAAGCAGACATTAAAATGGTCAATTTAAACTAGCAAATTCTGCTTTTAAATTAAAATATGCACCTCATATCTGCTGAGAATTCAGAAAATAAGTACATTTAATTCAGTTTATTCCACAAAATATAAGCACAAGAATACAAGATGAAGCTGTTCCTGAGGCTATTTTACCTAATAAAAATAGATGGAAACTTTCCCAAAGATTCTAGACAGACTTTATTTATTCGTTTGGATTTCTTGTTTCTAAAGTCCATACTTATTAGATGGCCTTTAATAAACACACAGAATTGTTTTACTGTATTTATAAGCAAGATCTTTGCTATTTTGAAGATTAAAGTTAGTTCTTCCCATGATACAGGAAAACACTATTACTTTATTATGAACATTTATTTACACCAAATGTAGGATATGCTAAGAGTACTGTCTGTGGAGATTCTCAATCATCCTGATCATAGTTGTCTTAAATATGCTCTTTTAAAAGGTAACGACTGTTTTTTTCCAGTTGCCTTTTGAAATAGTACCTTTGAGACTAGAAGTACTGTATTCCTTTATTAATGGTTTAAGATTTAGCAGTGCATTCTTTCCAGAATGTTATAATGGCAGTTGATTTGAGAGAAATTCCTTTCTTCCACCTTACGTTTCCTTCAGCAACATGGCTTTGGTATCAGCTGATTCCAGAATTGCTGAACTCTTAGGAGAACTGCACCAGCTTATCAAACAGACCCAGGTAATGTGAATTTTCCCCCTGGAATATTTAGGCCTGTATGTGACACAAATCTTACTTAGTTTGTCATAGCCAATGATGAGGAAAAGAGAAAGCTTTTCTTTTGCTTTCTTAGAAAGGGACAGTATCTTTTCATTAGGTCCACATCTTGTTTTAGTAATGTACCAAACAGTAATAATATAATGATGAGAGGAGGGCATGAAACTGCTGTGATAGGATAACTTCAAGGAATGCACTATGTCTGCTAAAATAAAAATCATATTGTCCAAATAATCAACCAGAAACTTTTTTGTTGCTAGGAGGAACGATCAAGAAGTGAACATAATCTTGTGAATATCCAGAAAACACATGAACGGATGCAGACAGAGAACAAGAGTGAGTGGAAAATGCCAGCCTTATAACACTTTCCTTAGAAATCTTTTGTGATGCAACATTTTGAGTCTGTTGTGTTCTCCAAGTCCTATAGTCAACTGAGTCAGTGTATTCAATTACCATTACTCTTTAACAACTGCCAATAGTTGCAATAGCCATGGAGGTTCTGAAGCCTATAGGCAGTGGGATTCATTGTTTGCTGGATCTAGAAGGCAGCAGGCCAGAGAAATTAAACAATTTGGTGGCTGCAGAAAGAATACTCTGGAGTTGGAAAAGGGTTGAGAGGAAAACTTTCTAGCCTTTGCTAGGAAATCTTGAATTGGAAAATGTTCTGGTCAATTGCTTGTGCATATTAAATTATTTGCAGATGATTCTTAGGGCTACTCACTCATTCTGAATTCTACCTCACAAGAGATCAACTTGCAAAGTGTGTTTTGTGAATGAAATACTATGATCTATTTTGAAGATTGAAGATTAATATTCCTTCAGTAATGAATAATGAATGATTATATCATTGAAATAGATACCCAGTTTAAAAGTACATTATTATTTTTCCCCACCCACAATTCAATTATGGTTCTCTCAACCTGCACTGATTAATAAAATGGTGCATTTTAAATTATTTTAAAAAAAGGAAAACAGACAACAGATTGAATTTATACAGAATTACATATAATATAGAGTACTTCATCTAGCTAATGAATGGGCTTCCCATGACTTACTGAGTATTGTAGAAAATTAAACTGGTTGGGCTGTTGCTACATATCAGAATAAGTGATCTTATATTTTTTTAGGCCTTAGAACTTTCCCATTTCTTCTATATGAGACACCCTTAGTCAAAATAGGATTTTTCCAGTATATGTGGAATATGTGGTATATTTGATTTTAACTTAATATGTCAGGTGAGCCTAATGTCACTTCTAGATTTTAGATTATGTTGTTATAGTGTTGTATTGATTCAGTTTTAATTTATTCAAACAAACTTGATGAAACAAACCTTGGCTTAGAACATCCATGGAGATTCTCAGTCATCCAGGACATGGTTGTCCCAAAGGTGCTTTTTGAGGAGGCAATTGGACTGTCTTGTTTTTCTCTGAAGACGTTTCATTTCTCATCCAAGAAGCTTCTTCAGCTCTGACTGGATGATGGGGAGTGAAAGGATTTATATTCCTTGCAGACAGCTGATCATTTCCATTCTTTTAGAATCATTGAAAATAAATCCTTCCATTCCACACCACCCAGTCAGAAGTGAAGAAGATCCTTGGATGAGAAGTGAAATGCCTTCCGAGAAAAACAAGAAAGTCCAGTTGCCTCCTGAAAAAGCACCTTTGGGACTTGGCTTAGAAAAATAGGGAAACTAGATTTCTATGGGAACTCATTATTACCTCCCTGTATTTCTTCTTTAGTCTCTCCATATTATCGGACGAAATTACGTGGCCTCTATACAACAGCTAAGGCTGATGCAGAAGCTGAATGCAAGTGAGTATATCTAAATTGCATGCTTCTGAAAAGAGAAGGCAACTCCTTTTCATTTTGCTTCTTTGCCCTCTACCCAGCATCCTCCGCAAGGACTTGGACAAGATTGCTGAGATAAAGTCTCTTTTGGAAGAACGGCGAATTGGTGAGTGCTGAAAAACTCTGATTAAGGAAGAGCAAATGGGTTGCTTGAGCTTTTGCAAAAGTGTTGGGTGCTATCCCTAAGATTTAAAAAGTTTTAATTATTCAAGCAGCCTAAAAAAACAGGATGCATATGCATTTTTGGGGCGGACTTCTCTTCAATTAATAAAGGTAGTCCTCAAGTATAATAGCAATTGGGATCAAAAATTTTGCTGCTAAGCGATGCAGTTATAAACTGTGACTGCATTGCTTAGTGATAACGATCCCTACATGCCAATGTCCATTAACTGAATTGCAGCAGTTGTTAGGCAAGGACATCCTCCCAACAAGGAGACATGGTGGCTCAGTGGCTTAATGACGCTGGAGATGGTTCTCAGTTCTGGTAATATGAGCCCTAGCATTGAATGTCAGGGTGAGTTCCTGTCACTCACCTCGGCTTTTGTCCACTTAATAGTTCGAAAGCATGTTCTATGCAGGAAGATAGATAGGTACCACTTCGGAGGGGGGAGACAAACTGATGCTCTGTGCAGGCAGTCAGTTCCTATCGTTCTGAATCTTCCCGCTTGAACACCTGCTTATGAGGCAGTTCTGGAAAGGGAGTGGGCCTTGGGTGATGCTGCAGGAAAACACATTTGTCTTTCCAGTGTGAAGCCAGCTCTCCCTCCTGTGGGACACCTTGGGAAGCACCCAATTATTGCCTGTAAGTGGCCTGGTACCTTGGGAACCCAAACTAGTACTCTGCAATAGCATTGTGGTCTTCTGGCTACTGTAACAACGCCATACACTAATAATAATACTTGCAACTTCCAGTTGGCTTCCCACAACTAAAGTCAATGGGAAGCCACCTGGGAGTTGCAAGTCACAAGCGGCTTGCAAGCAGGCAGGCAGATAAGTGGTTGTTGCCAGGTGAGGGAGAGAATGTGAGGGATGTGAAGCTTAGGAGGATGTGCAGGGATGCATAAATGAGCAGATGGGCTTGGGGAAATGGTGTGGGTGGGAGAGACTTATCCCAGAGACTTGCAATCTTCCTTGCTGGCATTCCCATTGATGGGAAGCCCATCAGGGAAGGTCACACATGGCAGTCACGGCTTGCAGAGCGCAACAACCAATTTTAAGTATCAGCTGGTTGCTAAGTGCCCAGATTGCAACCATATGATTGCAGAGGTGCTGGGATGAATAGAACTTTGAGAACCAGTCTTAACCACCATTTACTCAGCACCGTTGAAACTTTAGTCACTGAACAAACGGTCATAAGTCAGAGACAACCCATAGTCAAGTCTAGTCCTTTCAGATCTGGACTGCAAACATTTAGTCAACCACTAAAGTCAATGACTACCAGATGGTAGCAAATAGATATACAGTTTAATGCTTTGCTGCCAATTAGTGATTATCTATATTTTTGCAGTCCAGGTTGTGCCAGAAAGAAATTGAATAAGAATTCGTTGCTCCTTCCAAGAAATAGGTAGAAAAATTGGGAAAAGATGAAGTGTTATTTTGATGAAGCTAATTGGCTTCTGTTACTGGGTTAAAAAAAATCATTCTAAAGCAAAGTTTGTCTTTAAGTATATTTGAGGAACAAACATAGGGAGCTGTGAGGGCCAAATCAAATCAAATCAAACCATTATTGTCAATGCATAACATGTGTAGAATGAAACTAAATGAGCCTCCCTCGGTGCAGCCCCCTCAAAACACAAAATACACCTCAATAACTCAATAAATGAAAGAAATAGAATCCCTAAACCAAAATAAGTAATAACTAACACACATTCCCATATACCTACATGTATGTAACATTATATTACACCGGTATGAACATGTTGTGCTGACCCTGCAAATCTGTCATATTAAACCTAATTGTGGTGTTATGTTGAGTTCTGAAGTACCATATCCTACATCCAATCATGTTCTGTATTTTAAGTTTTTAGGCTCACTATCTTGTTTACAAACCATTATGGGGGAGACAACACAATCCAGTTGTAAAGTCAAAACCAAGCAAATTACATTCCAGCCACAGATAAGTGAGCAAACTCTTTGGATTAGGCATGTTTCATACTTTTAAACTGGATGAAACCAGGAATCGTGTAAAGCAGCCAACAGGAAGGAAGATAGAGTGCATGGGGCTGAGAAAGAAACATAAAACGTACACCCCCCTCAGTGGCTGCTGTAGGAGGCCATGGGGGCTGAAAATAGACCCCCCACAGCCCATTTTCGGCCACCAGACTGCTGTAGGAGGCCGTGAGGGCCAAAAATGACCCACGTGCATCTCCCATGGCCCATTTTGATCAGCAGAGGCACCATGGGCTGGTCCTTTGTTATTTCCAGGCCAGCCCCGTGGGGCCAGATTTAAGCACCCCATGGGCCTTAAGCAGGGGTGGGATTCAAATTTTTTAACAACCGGTTCTGTGGGTGTGGCTAAGTTGGTGGGTGTGACTTGGTGGTCATGTTACTGGCCTGGGCATGGCCAACTCAATATCACTCACATCGAGGTACGCATCTCACCTAGCCTTTTATGACTGTGGGAATACTGCAACAGTCGTGAGTGTGAAAAATGGTCATAAGTCACTTTTTTCAGTGCCCTTGTAACTTTGAATGGTCACTCCACACAAGCAAAGTACCAGCAAAGGAGGGAAAGAAAACTCCAGAGAAGTTCCAGGGACAGGAAGTCTAGTCCTGCCAAGAATTTAATAAGGGTTAACGGAGAGGCAGTTTCTGTAAGCAACACCAGAATGTTTCCTTCCTGCCTTCCTTACAGGATTAGGCCAGTAATTTCTTCTAACAACCGGTTCTCCGAATTGCTTAGAATGTTAACAACCGGTTCTAGCAAATAGGTGCGAACTGGTAGAAACCCACCCCTGGCCTTAAGTTTGACACCCCTGTTGTAGAGCATAAAGTTACTGTGTTCTTGATATGGAAGTAAATTTGATTGACAGGTTCATCTAAACGCTGGGAAGCTGCCTGCAAAGTTTATTTCCTTGGAATATTGAAAGTGTGTTTTTTTTTTTTTAATTAAACCATAAGTCTGGTTTTGCCTTGGGTTGATTGATTCATATTGCATTATATTGGTTGAGACACTTCCATCCATAATTATAGTTGCACTTTTCTGGTATGCTTCCCTCTCTTCTCACAGCTGCCAAGATTGCTGGTCTCTACAATGACTCTGAGCCGCCACGTAAAACCATGCGCCGTGGAGTGCTGATGACACTTCTCCAGCAGAGCGCCATGACTCTTCCATTGTGGATTGGGAAGCCTGGAGAAAAGTAATTGCTGGGAAGGTCTGGTGGGCTAAGAGCATCTGAAGTCACTCTTCCGCCATGAATTAGGCCCTTTTGTCTGATTTCTTGTGCAGGCCACCTCCCCTTTGCGGTGCCATCCCTGCCTCTAGTGATTATGTGGCCAAACCAGGAGATAAAGTGGCAGCTCGTGTCAAGGCTGTTGATGGGGATGAACAGTGGATCTTGGCTGAAGCTGTGAGCTACAATCATGCCACCAACAAGTGAGTATATATGGGACTATAATAGTGACATTGAGAGTCTTCAGGCTGTGGTTATTTAAAAAAATTAATAGATAGAATTTCTACATTAACAGATAGCGTTTTGCTAATTAAGAACAGTGGTTGTTTCTATATCATAGCAGTGGAGAAGGCAATCCCATCCACCAGACCAGCCTGGTGGATGCCGAAAACAGCTGAAAGTGTGGCATTCACACCCTAGAAGTTACAGTAGTTTACAGGGACAGAATTGCCTGCAATTCTCGTTACTCGTTGCTTCTAAGCACACGTTTCCCACAATCTTCCAGGGCTTGGATGCCACACTTTCAGCAGTTTTTGACACTGCTTGGTTTCCCCACCCCTGCCAGTCTGGTCTGGTCTAGTATGGGGGGTGGAATTGCTTTCCACCTTCCTTCCACCACACCACAAATGGAATTGACCATTCCCCAAGCCACGCACGCTGCTGTCAAAAGTAGATCCCAGGTGCTGCTGAACAGAGAAAAAGCGGAGCGAGGGAAGGAAAGGAGGAGCATGGAGAAGAAAGAGGGAAAGTGGTGCATCCCAGCCAGCCGGGCACCGAAGTACCGCCACTGCAGCAAGAGGAGAGGTGTGTGTGTGTGTGTGAGAGAGAGAGAGAGAGAGAGAAATCTGATTCAATGTCGGAGAGTTATACCAGGATTGGCGGTGTTCTCTTTATCTCTTTCCCGCCCCCCCCCCCCTTCCCCAGTTTTGATAAGATTGTTCTCTCACCTCACCTCGTGGCAGCCAACAGCCATTCTCTCCACGTTGGCTTGTAGCTGATCCAAGGCACACAGGCAGATGCCCTTTTGGGCATCTGGCTCCCTCTACCTCCTGCAGTCAGCCTCTGTGCGGTCTCCTCTTCCTGTATGTACGAGGGAGTGAAGGTGCTGGGTTGGGCCTTGTGATTAAAAAAAGAAACAGACATATCCCCAAAATAAGCTTAAAGAAGATAATACCGGGTCTTATTTTCAGGGAAACATGGTACAGTGTGTGTGGATGTGTGCATACATAATTTATATGGATACTTGATTTCCTTATTGATAGGCCCTAGTTTGTGCGAGTTGAAAGAAAAGTTTACAATGCTATCTCGCGTATGGATTCCCCACAGGAATCCATACGCGATGACCCATGACTGCTGTGCCAAGCCTGCTATGAATCATACTGTGAAGTATGAGGATGGCACGGCAGTGGTGGGGTTTATCTGGGATGACATGAAGATTCTTGTAGGGAGGAGGTAAAAGCTTTAATGGACTGGGTGAAATACCTGGCTTTGAATGTTAACAAAACAAAGGAGGTCATTGTTGAATTCAAAAAGAGCCAGTATAGTCATACTCTACTTCATATCAAGGCTACAGCTGTGGAAGTGGTTCAATAGGATCTGGGAGTACAGATAACTAACTGTCTGGTCTCTCGACACATCATCCTTAGTGAAGCGTGCAAATCAGCGTCTGCATTTCCTGCGTCAGTTGAAGAGAGCACATCTTTCTCCTTCTGTCCTGGCCACTTTTTACAGAAGCATGATTGAAAGCCTTTTAACAAACTGCATGACTGCCTGGTTTGACGGTCACAATGCCTCAGAAAATCCCTACAGAGAGTGATAAGGACAACCGAGAAGATTATAGGAAACTCATTTCCTGTTATTCAGGATACTGCTTATAAGCATTATGTGCTTAGAGCTCAAAGCATCGTTAGAGACCCCGCACACCCACCTCATGGTCTGTTCCTGTTGCTCCCTTCTGGGAGGAGGCTTCAAAGTATCTATAGCAGGACTACTAGATTCTGTAACAGCTTTGTTCCTTATGCCACCTGTCTTGTAAACTCAGTGTATTTGTATACATCCAAACTAGATTGTGATGTTTCTCTGAGTCATATATGTGTGTTTGAGTGAGTATATGCCAGAGGTGGTATTCAGCAGGTTCTGACCAGTTCTGGAGAACCAGTAGCAGAAATTTTGGGTAGTTCGGAGAACCGGCAAATACCACCTCTGAGTGGAGATTTTACAGTATCCTTCCCCTGCCACGCCCACCAAGCTACCCCCACAGAACCTGTAGTAAAAAAAAATTGAATCCCACCACTGGTATATGCATAATGATTATCTTTTGAGAGCTGAATGCAACAAAATTTCATTTTAATGTATGCTGATTAGTGTACATTTAATGCGACAATAACTTTTTTTATTCTATGTGCTTCATGCCTATTGAGCCTAAACTACGACATTAATATGTGCAAGGACCCAAAAGAGATTCCTGTCTGAGAAGTCAGAAATGTGTTGTATTGATTTTGAAAACATGGCAGAACCATCTTTTTCAAAAAGGACTTCATAGGCTTACTAGATTTATATGTCATCCCAGATCCTTTCTTCTTTAGCCTTCGTCTCGTTTTTCAACAGCCACCATTTTCTCAAGTTGAAATAGAATGGTCCTAAGACAGGATGAGAATAGGAGAAGGCAGAAAAGAGAAACTAAGTTGGTCAACAGTTTAAAATCATTGATTTCCTGGGATCCGTTTTAGTCAGGGACTCCAATTTTCCTAATTTAAATATTGCTAACAGAGGCTCCAGATTTAGGTTTCAGAGGGTTGGGCAGGGGGAGAGTGTCCAGTTAGTCCTGCTCAGTCATAGCTTTTGGTCTCTCAGTCGTGTCTCCCCATGCTAACAAAAAGGCTGCGGATTCTTATGTGCTAAATCATTACAATGTTAAAGAAGTCCGTATTAAACCATTCTGCAGGTTATTCCTACTTCAAGGAAGGTCTCTTTCCTTTCACTGCAGTACCAGAAATGGCTGCAGAGCTTCATTGATGATATACATGCTAAAATTTAAACAATAGACAAGATTCTGTGCTGGTAATTGTTATTATTGGTTATCTTTATAGTGTGCACTAACCACATTTTTCCAGGAAGGTTGCAAAGTTTTACTGGTATGCTTTAACTTTTCATTCTAATCTGAACAAATAAACAAATGAAAGGAAGGTGGATTTTGACTTTTTAACTATTCCATGGATGTATTGTGCAAGAATTCATTTTGGTAACTTTTTCTCTGGGAGCATTCCATTTGGATTGCTTCAAACTCTCATTCACCATTTTCTCTTCTTCAGATACGAGGTGGATGACATTGATGAAGAAGGAAAAGAGTAAGTGATGAAGGGATTGTTATAAAGATAGAAATGCACCTTATGAGGCCCCAGGTCCTAGAACCTTTGAAAGCAGAGATTTCCAAAATACTTCTCAAAATTTCTAATGTGATTAGGGGAAGATTAAATATATGTCAGTAGTGCATGCATATTCATTTTTTAAACCTTAATTATATTTATAATTAAAATGAAACATATGTATATTTTATTTATTTAATTTCCTTAGGCATCTATCTCAATCAGTGACTCTGGGCAGCCAACATCATAAAAACATTAAACAATAAAGAGTAAATACATATGGTTGCCAAGTAAATATTGCAATAAATATTAATATAGCCAAGAAATGGGGCCCTTAACACACTTGGGGACCCAGCCCCCAGCACATAACTAGGTCTTTGTAGCTTTGTAAAAGTCCAGCAGGGTTGGGTCATCTTGATATTTGATGGGAGAAAGTTCAGAAGAGAACATTGCAAGTTTTGGGGAACCCTGAGTGTTCCCCAGTCTTCTTCCTGAAATTCACCTGTGTCCCTCAGCACCTCCCCCCACATATTTTCCCCTTGAATTATGGGGGTTTATGAGAAATCTGCACATCTTGACTTCTGCTTTTCCACAGGCGTCATACCTTGAGCCGGCGTCGCATCATCCCTCTGCCTCAGTGGAAGGCCAATCCTGAAACAGACCCAGAGGCCTTGTTCCAGAAGGACCAGTTAGTCCTTGCCTTGTACCCACAAACCACCTGCTTCTATCGAGCCCTTATCCACGCTCCACCTCAGCGGGTAAGGACAAGGCCGTAAGAGTTTTCCTCAATAAATGGTCCAGAGTGTAATATTCTGCAACTGGTGTTAGAATGGCTCATGCAGATCCACCTGATAGAATAGCTGACCTGTCCTTCTGTCTGACCAAAGGCCCATTGAGTCCTGGTCTAAAGAACCTCTTGGTCTGGCCCGTAGCTCTTTCTCCTAAGCTGTTCTCTAGGTAATAATTACAGAGTAACTCTGTTGATACTAATAGAGCAGGAATCCCTGGTCTGTGGCCTAGTGCCAGGCCACAGCCCATTTAGAATTGGACCGCAGAAATGATGGGTGAGTGTGTGCTCACATGGGCCCGTGCCCAAAGCTGCATTTGTGAAAGCAGCACACATGCGTAAAACCATTTCTTCTCCCCACCCCACCCCACCCCCCACCCCACTGCCTCCGCTGGTCTGCCAAGTGAGGAAGTTTTGGGAATCCTGTAATAGAGCATCAAACCGTAGGTTGCTAGCATCTTATCAACGGAGAAGCCAGCAAAGTAATTTATCTTTCCTGGAGTAACATGTTAAGGACTTTGCTGGTTTAAATAGAACCAGGTGTGGATGGAGCAGGAGTTTAAAAAAATTTAACAGAAAGCTATCAACATTATTCGCCAACGTTTAATAGTAATCTAATAGCAGGGAGAGAAGGAGCCTGAAAACTGCACAACATTAGCCAGGACGCTATCTCAGACTCTAGTTTGCTTGGGTGGAGTAGAGCAGAACAGAACAGAATAACAGAGTCTGAAGGGACCTTCAGACAAATATTTGTCCAACCCCCTGCTCAGGCAGGAATTCCTATACTATTTCAGACAAATGGTTGTCCAATCTCTTCTTACAAAATTGGAGCATACAACTTCTGGAGGCAGGTTGTTCCACTGATTAATTGTTCTAACTGTCAGGAAATTTCTCCCTAGTTCTAAGTTGCTTCTCTCCTTGATGAGTTTCCACCCGTTGCTTCTTGTCCTGCCCTCAGTTGCTTTGGAGAATAGCCTTTTCTTTGTGGCAACCCCTTGTCTTCCCTCCAAATCAACTACCTCTAAAAATTCTTTACAGAAAATTGCTCTCAATTTATTTATTTTCACCATCTCATTTTGCCAAATTCAAAATCCTTGATGTTTTCTTCAGCACTGGAATTTCACCTGATCAGTGTTACATTGCTTTGCCCCTTAGCTATTGTATTCCTGGTTTAGCAGGAATATCCGTCTCTGTCTTAAATTAGTAATGCAAAAAGAAAGGAAATAGATTTGAAAGTCAAGCTTTCTAAGAAAAAAAGAAGCTAAATAACAATTAGCTGAGGAACAACAATAGGAGATGTTACATTCTGCATCAATAACAATTATTTTAAATGTGCTGAGACATAATGGTGAAGTAGCTAAGTTGCTAGGGGAAGGAAAAATATATCTTATTAGATCTATGAATGCAGAGGCATATAATTGGGGTTGCTACTTCATTATACATTACATGTTTTATGATAATTATGAAATTTGAGATATAAGCTTCAAGAGATGGATGGATTAGATAGAAAGAGAGAAAGACAAAGAGACAGATGAGAGAGCGAGATCAAAGGCAGATTAAAAGTTCAAAGAATTTTCTTCCATCAACAGTTGGCAAATGACTGTTACGAAGATATGTATCAGTGCATGTTCTTTGTAGCTCTGGATACAGGAAAGCAGGAATCTCTTTGAACATTTTCCTAATCCTTTCATAATTGGGGTCTAAAAAGGTTCTGTGTGTATCAGTAAGATGCAGCTGTCTATTAAAAAGACAGTTCAGTACTGCAGGAGTGAAATGTGGAAATGGCTTGAAAAGTGTGGGACAGAACAGGAAGAAGGGAGATAGAGGGAGATGAAGCAAGGAGAAGCATGAAAAGAAAAGGAGCTGCTTAATAATCCAGTGGAGAGCATGAATGAATGGCCATCCCTCTGTAGGAGGTAACTAAATCCGTTCTTTTTCTTGGCTTCAGCCCCAAGATGACTACTCGGTCCTCTTTGAAGATACCAGCTATGCAGATGGCTACTCTCCCCCTCTCAATGTAGCTCAGCGCTATGTTGTGGCTTGCAAAGAAACAAAGAAGAAGTGACATTGCCCTGCACCAAGAGCTTGGTGAGGAACAAGGTCTATTCCAGTGAACTTCTGCAGAGGGACAGTGAATGAAGCAGGAAGCAACAGAAGCCCATCAAGAGCAGGAGTTTATGAATCTAAGAAGTTTGCCTTCCAATACAACACAGTCAGCTTTGTGAAAAATAATTACATGATTACTTCCAAAAATTAATTACCACGGCAGGAATAAATAGTTGCTTTCAAAGCAGCTACAATTCTTTGAGTAAAGAAAAGACAATTGTTTGCTATTTGTCAGTTTTGTTATTTAGATTTTTAAATTTTTCCGTCTTGCAGCTGTTTTATTTTATTTAGGCTGTCCTTTTGACATGCCTCAGATTAATGAAGTATTACTTTAGATTCTTTTCCAGTTATTTTTTTCCCCTGTATTAAGAAGATTGCAAAAGATCATGCCTTGGAGAAAAGATTTGGAATTAAACCCCGCAATTGAAACACAAGGACTTGACCTGAATTTCTAAAGGAAAGTAGGAGGGGATTGGGGAATTTATTTTTATTATGGTGTTAAAAGGATGACTGGTCAGCTATGGAAAGTAGTTTTATTGTTTCTATTGCACATTTTCCAATTTCATTCATTTCACCATTTGCAAAAAAAAAAAAATTAAATCAAAGGGGTATAGCTATTCTGATGTGACTAGAATTTCAATAGAATCTTTTTCAAAAATTGGAACATTTTCAAAACTAGGGGTGATGACATGGAACTAGTCTCAAAACAACAGATTGCATAATTTTATTTTATTTATTGCATAATTGTAACATTTAAACCACACAAGAGTAAAAATATAAAAAGCAAAGTAGAAAAGAAGTAACTAATAAAAAACATGCTATGAAGAAAAAAATTCATAATGCATTCAATAATAATTGCCTTCAATAGAAATTATACAATCAACAGTTTTAAGAAGTATGTTAAAGCAGAGCATATCTATATAATATTTTTTTAAAAAAATTATTGGTAAGTGCAAAACACCCGATAATGGCAGCTCTCAATCTCTAGAATTTTCAACGGGAAGAATTATGGAGCTAGAAATTGTATTTCCAGAAAGGGGACATTGTAAACATTTGATTTATTTCTTCGTTCCCTACAGTTTAGAAAAACCCTTAAGCGGCGTAACATCATTCTTCATCTAATGAGACTCACTTTGCATCCTAAAAATGTTCTCTTACTGCTTCAGATAATACTACCTAACAGACCAGATTTTTTTTCTTAGACTTCAAAGTATCGTGATCAAGAGTTCTTAGAATTTTAAAAACTTGTACCTGTGTATAAAACTTTTTGGCCAAATAAAAATTGTCCCAACGGTGCTTTTTTAAAAGATAACTAGATTCAAAAAGCAACTGGACTTCTTGGTTTTTTTCCTTGAAAATGTTTCACTTCTCATCCAAGAAGTTTCTTCAATTCTTCAGAACTGAAGAAGCTTCTTGGATGAGAAATGAAACACTTTCAAGGGGAAAAAAACCAAGAAGTCCAGTTGCTTTTTGAAAAGCACCTTCATGACTCGGACGATTAAGAATCTCCATAGACATTTTGCCCAATAAAATATTTATAAACTTAGGGGGAAATGGGAAAAAGGACAGCATTGTTTCTTTGTAAAGAGAGCTGTTTATGCAAATATTCAAAAATAAATTCTAGTTGGTATCAGCTAGAAATGGCTTTTTTACCTACCAAATTTTTGAAGAGATTTATTTTTGTTTAAAAACAGAAACAATAGCTGTCATATAAATGTTTCATGTGACCCTTTGTTGTTGAGGAAATTGACAAAAAATTCATGACACAATGTTCCTCAATAAATCAAGCTTGAACTGAGAATAAACAAAATCTTACCAAATAAACATGGGCTTGCTACCACCTGTCAGTTTTCTTTTGTTTCAGGAGGTTGTGAGAGGATAGGAATGGGGGGGGGGGGATGACCTAAAGTTACTGCCCTGAATAAAATTAATCAATAGACCAGCAGGTTGAAAGGCTCCTACTATTATTGCTGACTTTGGGACTTTTCGGTTGGTGTACTTACTGCCTACAATTTTATATGCTTTCCTTCAAAACCTATTTTTTTTCCCCACAGTGAATGTTCTCTTATTTCTCATTGTGTATATCAGCTCCATACCTTTCTGCTAGGCAGTGAACTTTATCCATGGCCTCTTAAACTCATTAAAGCCCATGAAATCTTTTATATGGTTTGCTGATTAACTCAATGAATTATATTAGGAAGATTTGAGTAGGGACTTTTCCACAGGCGCACGAAACATTTGGTAAGAATCATGTTGTCATCCCTCACTTTGAACATTTTGCCTTATGTGCTGCAATGGTCATTATGATTGGACTGAGGAGAAGAAGATGTCCTACAACAGGGAGGTGTGAGCTATTATATTTAGCAATTTGAAATGTAGGGCAAAGTTAAGAAGAAAGGAGATTCATGGCTTGAAAGCGTTATCTCTGAGAAGTATTTTTAGTGACCTCAGGCTGTAAGCAGTCCTGATTTTGAAAGAGTCAACAGCATATATATTTAAATAAGAGAAACAATTACTAGTGGTGCTAGTATCACTCCCTCTGTTTTTATTAATATGTCAGTGACAGCTCAGCTTTTTAAAAGTGTATTTGCATCAGCTAGTATTTGATTGACATATTGTCAGGTAAGATACTGATATGAAAATGAAACTTCTGGATTCTCTCCCATACGCAAATCGATCCAGAAAGTGACTACTTTTTTCTTGTTACACAAGTTTGCTTGCATGCTTGTGCCCCGCCCCCTCCATTCTCTATATCAGGGGTCCCCAACCACCAGTCCGCAGACCAGTACCGGTCCGTGGAACATTTCCTACCGGGCCGCCAGTTTGCTGGGCGCCGCCATCTTGTTTGACGAGAAAGTGCTTCCGGGTGAGCTTTTCCGGTTGGAAAGCGGCGTTTGGGTCCTGAAGGAATCCTCGCGCCTTAGTTTCATCGAAGGGGGGGGCTTCAAACGAAACTAAGGCGCAAGGATTCTTTCAGCACCCAAGGCAAGGCAAGCTGAGTGACCGTCCCAAAGCAAAGCCCATCGACAAAGGTACACAGGAGGAGTTGAAGGTGGTGGGGAGAAGCAGGGGACGGCTGGCTGGCTGGTCACTCGGCTCGCCTTGCCTTGTCATGTGTGCTGATGCCGGTACCGGGCTGCGGATCATTTTGTGATGCTGGTACCAGGCCGTGGCACAAAAAAGGTTGGGGACCACTGCTCTATATCTTATAGAGGTCCTTTTCCAGTGTCTTTCAGTTCCTCCCATTAGGCAAAATGAGTTGACTACTTTGAGCAGCATCTGCTGGAGAAGTTCACCGTGCCACCTTCTCAAATTTTTCCTTTGAAGCTCTCAAAAACCATTTTCTTTCATTGGAAGGCAAAGCTCTGCAGATTACACATCATCAGGAATTAATTAAGCTATAGGAATTTCTCACTTAATGAAGAACTGCTTAGTGACTGTTTGAAGTCCCCCCTGTTGTTTCAACAAAAGGTACTTAGTGACTTGATTTTGATATTCCAACAGCCACATGCCACCCCCATGGTCACATGATCACATTTGGGGCACTTGGCGACTGGCTGTCTTTACAGCCATTTGAAGTATTTCGTGGTCATGGTTTTTGGCGGTTCTGGTTTCTGTCAAAAAACGCTCAATGGATAAAACTTGGCTTAATGATCACTGTGTTCATTCAACAACTGCCATGTTTGCTTAATGAGGGTTGCAAACAGAGTTGCTTAACAACCATATTTGCTTAACAACTGCCACATTCACTTAATGACCACTGTAAAAATGGTACTAAAATCAGGCACAGTAAAAAGATAGTCCATTTAACAACTGGAACAATGTACAGCCATAATTCCAGATTCAATTACAGTCATAAGGATTCCCCGTAGCTTGTTGCTGGTAAGGGAAAGGATTCTACCAGTATTGTCAGAATTGAACTGATTGACTTCTGAATAGATTTGAGGTGTCATCTTTGCAAAATGGCTGATATGAACCTGCTTCTCTCTAACTCAACTGATTAAAGGTTATTTCTCTTATATGATTTCTTTGCTGTACATAGAATAGAATAGAATAGAATAGAATAGAATAGAATAGAATAGAATAGAATTCTTTATTGGCCAAGTGTGATGGGACACACAAGGAATTTGTCTTGGTGCAAATGCTCTCAGTGTACATAAAAGAAAAGATACATTCATCAAGAGTCAAGAATCATAAGGTACAACACTTAATGATAGTCATAGGGTACAACAAGTAATCAAATCATACTAGGAAATAGTCAATATAAATCGTAAGGATACACAAGTGGGAGGGGAATGGGTGATGAGGAGTGATGATAAGATTAATAGTAATGCAGACTTTGTAAATATTTGGACAGTGTTGAGGGAATTATTTAGCAGAGTGATGGCTTTTGGGGAAAAACCTCTTGTGTCTAGTTGTTCTGGTGTGCAGTGCTCTATAGTGTCGTTTTGAGGGTAGGAGTTGAAACAGAACACAGTGTGCATGGATACATTTCATGCTATCTTATCATGAACAGTTTAAGGGCTGATGCTGTCCACTTCTAGGCACTCAGTTAGAGTGGCAAGCCCTGTCCCTAGTTACATCCTCCTTGTTATCTCTCATTTGTAAGAAGTCAGTAGCTTTTATTAACTGTATTAAGCTGATTTGAATGCCCAATGATTTCATAAGAAATAAAATAATTAGCATTATCCAAACATAGTTCAGCTTTCTGTTTACTCTGTTTAACAAAGGCAGGTTTGAGAATTATAAACAATGGTTGATACCTTATAAGTAATGTTAACATTGTAGTTTATCAAACAAAACTTGGCTTCAGGTAGTGTGCAACAGAGCCAGTATCAAAAAAAAGGGAGAAAGGAATAAGGGCTTTTGCACCTATTGCCTTTTTGTTCTAAATAGAAGTAGTCCTTGACTTACAACCACAACTGAGCCCAACATTCCTGCTGCTAAGTGAGATAGTTGCTAAATGAAGTTTGCTCCATTTTACGACATTTCTTGCCACAGTTGTTAAGTGAATCACTGCAGTTGTTAAGTTAGTCACATGGTTGTTAAGTGAATTTGGCTTTGCTTGTCAGGTCACAAAAGCAATTACATGACTCCAGGACATTGCAATCATCATAAATATGAGTCAATTGCCAAGTGTCTGAATTTTGATCATATGACCATGGGGGTGCTACAACAGTTGCAAGTAGGGGTGGGTTTCTACCAATTCTGTCCACCTCCGTAGTACCGGTAGCTCTGAACATCAGCAGACATAGAACCAGTTCTATGTCTGCTGATGTTTTTGCCCACCCGCTGACCCGGGCTCTTACCTGATCTTCATTTCCTGATTTTTCAACTTCAGCTGCCCAAGGAGGCACAGCTGCAGTTAAAAAAACAAGAAAAGAGGGCTGTTTCAAAGACTGTTTCTAGGTAGCAGCATGCTGATGACATGCTAATGAGTGGGCAGGGAAGCTCATAAATCCCAAGTTGGTAGTTAACCCTGTAGTATCCCACCCCTGGTTGCAAGTGTGAAAAATGGCCATAAGTCACTCTTTTCAGGGGCCTTGTAACTTCAAATAGTCACTAAATGAACTGTTGTAAGTTGAAGACTAGCTGTACTAGTTGGTTCCAAAAAAGAGAATAAGCAAACTGGGGAGAATCAGGTAGAATGAAAGACAGAGATTTTGTTACAGTGGGGAGTCTCACAATGAACATCTTGCCTGGTGCCACCAGTCCTTCAAATCTACAGGGACTTATGACTGTTTTTCACACAACCAATGCGGCATCCTAATAGTCACATGATCAAAATTCAGATGCTTGGCAACTGGCTCATACTTATGACAATTGCAGTGTCCCGGGGTCCTGTGATCTCATTTTGCAACCTTCTGTTGACCAAAGTCAATGGGGAATCCAGATTAACTCAACAACCTTGCTACTAACTTAACAAATGCAGCGATTCATTTAACAACTGTGGCAACAAAAATCTTAAAATGGAGCAAACTCTTGTAACAAATGTTTCACTTAACAACATAAATTTTGGTCTCAATTGTGGTCATAATTTGAGGACTACCTCTAGATTAAGCTGAAGATGTGATATCATTGTGCACTCATTGCAAAAGGGAAAGATTTAGCTTCTTTGTTATATCAAAACCAAGCCAATAACAAACATAAACTCAAAACTGCAATTGCATTTTTTGATATTGCTACTTTGTTAATTTTTAGCCTCTTTCCTTGTGATGTGAACTTTGGAAGAATTTTAAGAACATGATATATTTTTGAATGGAATATACTTTGGCCTGCCTTCTTTCCTTCCTTCAAACTCAGATC